TTACTAGTCAAAAGTCCAGCAAATTAACAGACTGATGTAACCAAGCCATGACTCTCTCTAAATTGAGGCAGTAAGCAACCTATGCACCTCACCCTAACGACCTACTGTCTACCCAATCTAAAAAGATTTTTACATCCTGACTCCATTGGGAACTGTACAGAAGCCTCGGTATTTCGGCTTGTTTAGGCATAAAGAACACGGAGTGTACTACGTGTTTCATACCAAACATGACTTAGAACAGAGCTTTTATTATATTGTTAGAATAGTATGGTAACAGAACATTTAACCAGTTGCCAATATTCTCAGGATTCTGTGGTTTAAAAAAAAAAAACAAAAAACCACAAATTATATTACTGATTTTTCAACTGTGGTTCCTCATCTAAAGCACAGAGTAACCATTTACTGAATTCTTCCAAGGGTGGTACAAAAGCAGCACTATTCTATATGCAGAAGTTAAGTCAATGCATACAATGGACTTCTTGGGGCATTAGGTCTTAATTCTTTCCTGGAACTCCAGTTTTAAAAGGCTTTAGAATGAAGTAAGATTATCTGACTTTTTAAATAATTTCAATGGATTGAGAAATAACTGAAAACTTCTTGCAGAACGATTATGTACAGAGAGCACCTTGAGTGAAGATCTATTAGAAAAGCCCTAAAGAAATCCACACACTAGTTTTGATTTACTCATTTCTAACTAATAAAAAGTTAGTTTTTTATAAGATCATTTCTATGTCTGCCTATTCTTAAATATTTTCCCTAAAAACTGGTTATTTCAATTATTTACTCTCACCACCCTTTTAATACCCTGCTGCCAAATAACCTTCCCCAAACACCCATTTTTGTCATACCTATTCCTTGCTTAAAATGGTAAAAGATAACCGGATATAGAATATTTAAGACTTTTTTTAAATTCCAGAATTCAATAATTAAGAGAAACAATGGGTGGCTCACGCCTGTAATATAAGCACTTTGGGAGGGCAAGAAAGGCGGATCACTTGAACTCAGGAGTTGAGACCAGCCTGGCCAACATGGTGGAACCCCATCTCCACTAAAAGTACAAAAATAAGGCAGGAATAGTGGTGCAAATCCCAGCTATTCGGGAGGCTGAAGCAGGAGAATTGCTTGAACCCAGGAGTTGGAGGTTGCAGTGATCCAAGATCACACCACTGCACTCTAGCCTGGGTGACAGAGTGAGACTCTGTCTCAAAAAAAAAAAAAAAAAAGCAAGTACAGGTACTGTTTTAAAGGGAGTGGGAGACATAGGAACATGGATTTTTTAAGTCACCTGGATTCATGACCTAGCCACAAAGTCACTGTGTATCCTTGAAGAGAGTTTTATATCTAATATGGTTTGGCTGTCTCCCCACCCAAATCTCATCTTGAATTGCAGCTCCCATAATCCCCATGTGTCGTGGGAGGGACCATCAGGACAACTGAATCATGAGGGCAGGTTTTTCCTGTGTTGTTCTCATGATAGTAAATAAGTCTCACGAGATCTGATGGTTTTATAAAAGGCAGTTCCCCTACAGAAGCTCTCTTACCTGCTGCCATGTAAGACAAGCCTTTGCTCCTCCTTCGCCTTCTGCCATGATTGTGAGGCCTCCCCAGCCATGTGGAACTGTTGAGTCCATTAAGCCTCTTTTTCTTTATAAATTACCCAGTCTTGAGTATGTCTGTATTATCAGTGTGAAAACAGTCTAATACAATATCTTTCTCCATTTTTAATGTGATATTTGTGAACATCTTACACAATGCCTGGCACCTGGAAAGGCTATTAATTAATACCAAAGAACTTCCTAGCATTCTAGGCTTTCTTGAATCTTGTTTCCTCCCTTCCTTTTCATCTTTGCCTTGATCTTCAGACTCGACCCAACAGACTTTTTCACTGCTTTTGAGTAATTCATGCTTATTTTTCAACTTAAGTTTTTATTTTGCTATTTTCTTTTTGAGACAGAATCTCACCCTTCTGCACTGGCTGGAGTGCTGTGGTGCAATCACAGCTCACTGTGGCCTTAATATCCCACACTCAAGCAATCTTCTTGCCTCAGCCTCTCGAGTAGCTGGGAGTACAGGCACACATCACCATGCCTGGCTAATTTTTGTATTTTTTTGTAGAGACAGGTTTTTGCCATGTTGTCCAAGCTGATCTTGAACTCCTGAGCTCAAGCAATCTGACCGCCCTGGCCTCCCAAAGTGCTGGGATTACAGACGTGAGCTACTTCACCCAGCCTATTTTGCTATTCTTATTGGAATGCTGTCTTCCTCCTGCTCACCTACCTGGACTCTAACCATCCTTCACAATCTAGAAGGTCCAAACCCAATTGTCCTATTAGATATTCCTCAATTCCACCACTTCACACTTATTTGATTCTTCTTTGAAAAAGTTTAGATTTAGGGTCTATACTTATTTTTTGACATTTTATAATAAAATTTAGAAAAGGTAGACTAGTGTTCTCATTAAAATGCTATTTATTTTAACTATGGCAGCAATATAAAATTGAGCATTTTTTTACCTTAAGGACTAATCAAACTAAGGAACAGACTGCTGAGACTCTAAAGGCAAAATATTTCTAAATATACAATACTGTCATACTTTGACAAATTCTGTTCTTTTAACAGACACCTGACCCAGGCGTGGTGGCTCACACCTTTAATCCCAGCACTTTAGGAGGCCGAGGGGGGTGGATTACGAAGTCAGGAGACTGAGACCATCCTGGCTAACAGAGTGAAACCCCGTCTTTACTAAAAATCAAAAAAAAAATATATATATACAAGAGCCAGATGTGATGGCACGCGCCTGTAGTCCCAGCTACTTAGGAGGCTGAGGCAGGAGAATCACTTTAACCTGGGAGGTGGAGGCTGCAGTGAGCCACGATTGTGCCACTGCCCTGCAGCCTGTGCACAGAGCAAGACTCCATCTCAAAAAAAAAAAAAGGAGAAAGCAAAAAAACAGACACCCTAGCACAGCACTTAATAAGTGTTCCTGCAAGTAGTAGATATTCAGTAAATATCTGCATAATTTACGTAACTTTCTTCAAGGAACTATATCATTACTCTTCAACTCGTTTTTGTGTAATAAGAAAGCATGCATAATTTCTAGTTATATCTAATCAGTGACCTCAGGTTATATCTTCACAAACAAAATGAAGCTGTAAACAAAAGAATACATATAGAATATACAAGATTTTTTAAAATTCCAGCAATAATTAAGAGAAGTACTGTTTTTACACAAATGAAGAGCAAATATATGTGTTGTATGTATAGTGACAAAGATATTTTCATCAAAGATAATTAGTAAGGAAACTGAAAATCATACACATTTCCAGTTAGGAGTCTTAGATAATTTTTCCCCCATCACTGCTATATAAATTGAATAGGGTTATTTAATATTTTTATAAATCAGCAACTTCAGAAAAGTTACACTGCCAAATTTAAGAAATGGTCAATTCATAACTCATTATTAATATTTAAAGAGCATTAAATATGGAGGCAGATATGGTCCCAAAAATAATATTCTAGAAATTGTGATAGATGGCATAATATTGAATGTTTAGCCCCATTCTTTCTAAAAGCAGGGCTTCTCAAACTTTTCCACTGAAACTGCCCCCTCATGTCAAAGTAACCTAATAAAAAGGCTGAGAGGGAACATATATCCCCAGGCATAAGAAAGCATAACCTCAAAATACTCCACTATTCTAAACTTCTCATGTTTAATCTTAAAAATCCATGCTCTAAGAAGATATGCCATATTTATTCTATGGCTTTGCATATCTCCTGACACATAATCATGTACTCTGTGCTACACGTGACCAACTTTGAAAAGCACTGATTTAAACCAATGTATGTCTATCTGAAAACTATTTTCCTATATTCACATAACAATGAAAACTGTCATTTGTTGAGTACTAAGTATGCAAAAGGCATTACACTAGGTTTTTGTATATACAAAAATCTCAATTTTCAAAATGTCAATATTATCATGCCCACTGTAAGGACGAAACTGAGGCACAAGGAGATTAAAATAGCTCTCTCATGGCAATACAGCTAATAACGTTGGCTACTTTGTATCCAGGTCTTTATTATACCACACTCTCATCTAAATTTGATTTTTACAGAAATTTCGTACTCTGGCGTTTTTAACTTACATTTCAAGAATTTAATGATGTGCTCAGCCCAATAGCCGCTATTGTCTAAAAGAAACTCTTCCCTTGTGCCAGAACTGTAAGACTAATCAACAAAGGGGAATGTAAGACTGTTTTTATTTAAACTACATTAAAATCCAGCCACTCAATCGACCAATTCTTAGGTTCAAGTAAGATCTGGCATTGTAAATAAGACAGGATATAAATTTTATGTACAAAACAAAGATCTAATCTAAAATAGCAGCATGAGATGACAGAACACATGACCAGAAGCTATTAATACTTAGCAAATCTTAACTCACATTAGCATCCATCACTTATTACATGCATGTCCTTGAGGTTTTTTTTGGTTTTTTTTTTTTTTGCGTCTCTAGGACTTACATTCACATATCAAGAGAGGTGCTAGCAGATTTTTAAGTTCCTTTCCATTCTTAAGTTTTTCTCTCTTTATAATTTTGCTACTCACTCATCTCAATTTCTATACGGTACTTAAGTTTCCATAATTCACAGCTAGTAACTTTTTATTAGCACATATCTAAGCAATTAATTTTCTTACTCTACATTTCTATCAATCTTGGCCCTTTCTTCTTAATGCTCCCTCAGTCATTGCTTCTGAACAATTTTCATTTTAAAATTACATACTGAACACAACAAAACTGCCCAATAAAAACTGCTGCCTGATAGTAAGTTCACTTTGAGCTCTATTGGCAAACCGTTTATGATGTCAGCTGCTGGTTCCATTTATTTGTTTTTTTAAACAGTTTGGTGATTTGATATTTGTACTTAAGCTTAAGTTATATTGTTTTTAATTTATATATTTAAGTACATTAAAAGCCACAGGTAAACTATGTTACTAACCATCTTCCAGTCTGATTTGCGATCTGTTCTTCTAATTTCTGTAGCTCCGATGTATAGGCCATTATTCGAGCATTGCACACCATGAGATTCTTAACTGCATGTAAAACCTGATCTTTCTGAGTGCTCAGAGAAAGGAGTTTCCATATTCCTTCTCGCATTCGAATTTCTAAGTCTATTTTTTCTTGAATGCTGCAGTCCTAAAAAAAAAAAAAAAGAAGCTCTTTTAAAATATAGCAAAAAATTACATCTTTCCATATAGATGGAAAATGTACTAGATAACATTATAATTGTATACCGTATTGAGAAAACAACAAAGTTTTAATATATGTAATATAAAAATAGCTATTTTAAAATGCTCTTTGCAATTTTTAACTTCTTGCTTCATTAGGAAGTCTTCAGAATTTTCTGAATAAACAGAACATAAACAAAGTGAGAAACATTATGTGTTCTTATAACTATATTAAATTTAATAGTGTCCCTCCAAAATTTATGTCCATCTAGAACCTCAGAATGTAGCCTTATTTGGATATGGGTTTTGCAGATGTAATTAGGTAATATGAAGACATACTGGATTAGAGTGGGTCCTAACTCTAATGACTAGTGTCCTTAAAGAAAGGTCGTATGAAGACATGGTCACATACAGAGAAAATGACATGTGAAGACAGAGACGGATCCATCTGTATGCCAAAAAAAAAAAAATACTAAGGATTGATGGCAATAACCAGAAGCTGGAAAAGACAAGAAAATAATTATTCCCTAGAGCCTTCAGAGGAACATGACCCTGCCAATCTCCTGATTTCAGATGTCTGGCCTCCATAAGTATGAGAATACATTTATCTTGTTTTAAGCCACTCAATCTTGGTCATTTGTTATAGCAGCTTTAGAAAATGTATAATAACTAATATAATGTAAAAAATGTTCCAGATATATCGTCTATAAATTGTATTAAGAGATGGCAATGTAGTTGGTGACAGTGAATTAGCCAAAAAAAAAAAAAAAAAAAAAAAAATTCTGAAAAAGCAGATACTGAGTAAAGGAGCCAAGGTTTAGCAGCAGGGAGGACACAGGCTACTTGTAATAGTAGGCAGTGTAAATACAATCTCAGAAGCAAGAGAGTGAAAGCACTGTGCATAGAAAATGTCAGAAGCCTTAGCTAACTGGAACGGACCTTTAGAATATAATTCTGGACATATCATTTATTTTAGTTTTAGGATTTACCATTAGACTATTAAATATTTTATTTCTACAAGTCTTTTATGCCATATAATTATCTTTTAATGGCCTGATTCTACATACGAGTTTCATACGCAACATTAAAATTCTATAAACTGAATGTACAGTTCTGATTTAATTCACAATGACATTATAAAAATTATAAAATCATGGGACACTCTTTATTATATCACAAATATATAACAATGTTTCTAGTATGTCTATTTCTAAAAGATAAAGTAACCACCCTAGCTTTTGTGGCTAAAAAAAAAAGACAAAAATTTACCTTCTGATTGGATCAAAATGTAAATTTAAAAAAGTAAATGAAATCTAATAACGAAAGGTCTAGACAACCTTTTCAAAAAGAAAAGAACATGAAAGGAGACCTAACAGTCTTCAAACTGCAGTAGATGATTTAACTTGGCGATCCAAATCAATCAACTGTACTATTTACACACAGAAAACTGATCTGTTTAATTACCTTCTGTAATTACATCATGTAATTACCACATAAAAACCTCGTATAGTGTTGTAACTCAAAACTGGTGTACTATATAAATGTAGTCATTTGCTGGTTTTCCTTTGTTACACATGACTGAATTTCAACAACTCCATTTCATCTTTTTATGACTTACCAGCCCCAAAGTAAATTCTTTTTTAACGTAATTAGCAATTAATTGTAAGGATTATCTATGTGACCCATATGTCTATAGAAATAAACTCTGGCAGGCTGACTATATTGGGGAGTGCACATAGGGAGCAACCTAAAGCTGGGATGAATAGCTTTCCCCAACAACTCAAATATAAACAAATACCATCTGGTGCCACTAAATTCAATTTTGGTTTTTAAATACTGAAATGAAACAGGCGGTTAAGCTAGCACAGTGGTTCTCAAAGCTGGCTGCCTATTAGAATCATCTGAGGCAGAGAGGAAGGGCCTTATAAAAGTACCTAAACCTGTGACCTACCCCAAACCAATCAGGATCTCTGGAGGTGGGGCTCGAACTTTTTTTTTTTTTTTAAATAACAGTTCCTCAGGTGATTCAATGGTCAGCCAGGGTGGAGAAGCATGGCTGGACTATCTGAAATTCCACAGCAATCTTGAAAGTTGCAACAACCTTAAAGAACCAGCAGGTGGCTACAGCCACATTAAGGAATCAGTTTGGGTTTCTATCCCATAAATGAAGATTATCTTCTAGCCATCACTTAAAATGAAGATTCCATAAAACCATAGAAGCTTGGGAAATAGTAGAGAAAGAAAATGTAAAGTCAGGGTTTGAAAATAAATGTACATTTAACAAGTATGAAGATGACATAAGATTAAAGACCATTTATTAAGGAAATGAGGCATATATAACAGGTATTACTATTAGATTTTTTTCTTCAGAGCAAGGATCAGCAAACTATGGCCCGGCTGGGATCTGGTTTTGTAAATAAAGTTGTACTGGGGCACAGCCACACCCATTCATATTGTTTATGGCTCCTGTAAGCTACAAGGGCAGAGTTGAGCAACTTCAACAGAGACTGAGCGGCCTACAAAGCTGAAAACATTTACTGTTTGCCCCTTTATAGAAATAGTTTACTGACCTATAACCTAGCCAAATTAACATACATAGTAAACTATAATCTTACCTCCCTCACTGAGGCAGGTCTCAGGCAAATGTGAGTTAAGTGGATCCCTGAAGGCTAACATAAGCAGGATGAATTGTTAAGTGTACATATGGTTTTCAATATATTCTGATTTTTTTTTAAGGCTAGTGTTTCAGCTAGTTTTGTATTTCCCATGCAACTTCTTTTAGTACATATCTACATTTTACATGCAGAAAAAGCTTCTCTGGTTAAGCAATGCTAGGTCTAGCAAGTAAAGGTTTATGGAACCAAAACCCTTCAGAGCTGTCTTTCGTTACAAGGGTACATAGTGCATCTGGGATAAGAATTGATGTCTAGTGCTATCCACAGTAAGAATAATGATCATGTAATACAGTTACTGATTGGGCATTCAATAGTGATGTTTACTGACCTCAAAGAGGATAAGTAGGGAGTGAAAAATCATCAGTGTTGCTCCCTCAGCCATAATGGCTTGGCCAGGTAGAGTCAAGGTTGATTAGGACAAATGACAAAAACTTATCTCTCTACAACCATTCCTCTTTGAAGTGTTTGAATGCCAGTCTCCAGGAAGAGCAGGGAATGAGGTGACCATCCTCTTACTTCTTTTCCAATTTTCTGAATAAGTGCTTGCCTATCATCAAGTCAAACAGAAGCTGTGTCACCCTCCTGACCCTGCAAGTAAAGTCAGGCTGATAAAAATATATGGACAATGCTATGAATGAAATGGGAGGATACCTTAAAAGTAGAAATTTAGATTAGGAAACTCATTAGGCTTTAAGAGCTAGGCTAGCACGAAGGAAGTGCAAAGAAAATGGCTTTATTGTTGGTATTAAAAACTGACAAAAAAAAATCCTGAAGTTGAACTCCTGGTAAGACGACTGCAGTAATCAAAACAGAAACTATTATTCACCCAATGGATATAGTTAAGCCATGCTAACCAAGAGACCAAGGTGAAGATGAAGAAAGAGTATATACAGTACATTCTCTTTTTGCTAAAAGAAACTGTGTGGATTCTAAGAATTGTTTATGTACAGAAAAAAAGTGGAAATTGTTAACAGCAGCCATTCTGGGGAATGGAACTGGGGAAAGAATTCTTAAATTCATGTTTCTGTATATGTTGACTTTTCTGCAATGAGTTAGTATGACTTTTTGAATTTTATTTTTATTAAGATTCCAAAAGCTTAAACATTTGTAAGAAAAGGTAGGGGACCACCCTAACCACTCGGATGAATAGGACAAAGGATGACAACAATAGTTATCTCTCAAGCACAGCCTGAGTGCCAGGTGCTGTGATAAGCACTTTAGAGAGGTCCTCAAATTCCAACAGCTGTCCGGGATAGGTAGAATACCCAACCTACAATTGTGGAAATTGAAACTTAAAAAACAGAGGTAACTTATTTAAGGTGGCACAACAAGCAGAGTTTGGTTTGACCTGAATCTGATGCCAACGCCAGTACTCTATGCTGTGAGTCAGTCGCAGAGAACTCCAGTGTTTCAGTAGAGGTGTTCGATTAGTGTGTGACCACCTCAAAATCTTTGGCCTTATCTCTATTAGACGGCAGCTTCACTCATTTATCAAAGGAAATGCCAAATAAAAATTCAGTGTTAGTCAAGTATAAAATTATCGGACTGACCCTCAATACTTAGGTTGAAACCTACTACTATTTTGTGTTTTTTCTCCAAATGCAAACTAAAGAAGTAATTCCACATTTCAATCATTTTAATTTTGTCCCGCCTAACAAATTAAGCATTGTACCTTCCCACGTGTAAATTAACCGTCTTTATGTATATATAAACATTTATTTTAATTCCATGTAGCTAAACTTCCTTTATGATCTTATACCCTTGTCACTTCTGTACCATTCCTATTACTGCAGCCTACAGCTCAATAAATACACTTGGACAGCTACGCCAACACCTATACGGTACATGTAAGAACCCCAATAGAATGCCAATTCACTATAAATCAAGATTTGTTAGCAATCAGCACAGCCAAAGCACATAACAGGACAGGACTGACAAGTACATCAAAATCTTTGAAATTTTTGAAAATGCTGGCATAAAACGGCATAAAAATTACTGATAATTACTGATAAAGGCACTGGGCTTCTTTTGCATAATGAATCTTAATGTCTTGCCTTATTTTCCACAGCACTGTAAATTTCCTAACAATTTTGTGTCTGCTAAGGAAATCCCAGGTTTTTAAACAAAGATATCAGGTGCCTCCATAAGAATGGAATTGCAAATATTCCACCAATTTTGACCTACAAAACTGGCAATTTCATATGATTTAACCTACTTCTGAAGTAGGTAAAAGGAGGTAGAGATCAAAATAGAGGTGAAGATCCAGCTTAAAGACATCAGTTTTTTTAAAGACACTAAAGTTATGGTTAAGAGTGAAATGTGGTAACATTTTAAAAACTGATGTTGCCAAGAAATAATGTTGGTCTAGTAAAAACTAAAAAGAGTTTCTAACACATTTTACATGGCTCAAAAGCAAACACCAAACTTCTATTCAACTTAACATGTACTCCCTCTTATCTTTCTAATGATTTGAGAAAGAACCCACCACCAAACCTTCAACTTTTTCTGACGTGCAGAGGTTGCAGTTTGTCTCTACTCCGCCCGGACCCCCTCACCAGTTCTGCGTTGTGTGTAGATATCGCTCCATTACTGTGCTTCCCATTAAACCCGTAATAAGCCAACTGGCCTCGCTGGGTTTCTTGGGAATCGAGGGGCTCCCATTCCCCCGGCATCACCTACACTAGCAAAAAGACAGGGGTCCAAAGCCTGTGGAGGGCGACGGACAGGTGCGCCCGCAAACGCGCGCCAGGACCCCGGCACCGCCTTCCCATTCCGGACCTCAGCTCCTTGCCTGAGAAATCCGGAGGTACAGATGTCCGGGCTCTTTGGGAGTGCAATCTCCTAGTCCCTCCCTTTGTTTCTGGCCTAGGCTGAATTAGACGAGCAGGGGAGAGGCTTTTCCTACGACTCCACAAAGCGAAGGCGCGAGGAACAGAGTTCGAGGAACAGGCCCCTCTCCTTCCGCGACAAGGTCCCCCCAACTCACCCGCTGGGTGGGAAGCCCCGCCAAGCCGAGTGCGGGACCCCGCAGGCTCGGCCCCTCCATCTCCAGCGCGGGTTGCCCTGGCCGCAGCCACTACTTCGAAGGGAAGATTTGAAAAGCCCGCCCCTGGCTGGAGTCGCGGAGGACGCCAACCGCCCGGCTGTACCAAGTCCCAGCCGCAGGGGCCCCGGGCTCAGGAGGAGCAGGCCGACGCGCAAGCGCAGAAGGCGCGCCTCACGCCCCGCCGCCGGAAGTTGCCGAGACCCTAGACTCCAGCGCGGCGGGGTGGGGGAGAGGGCTGCGGCGGGCAGACTTAAGGCGCTGACAGAGATGTGGGCGGGCCTGGCACGGGAGTGGGCGGGGCCGCGGGGAAAGCTTCGGCGGCTGAGCGCACCTGTCCCAGCGCAGGTTTCTTGCCTAGTGGTTTTTGTGGCCCGCCCTTTGCGCTGGGAGCCTTCTGCACGCATCCCACCGAAGGCGTTCCAAAATGATCGGAGCTGGACAGATCCGAGACTGCAGTCCCTGCACTTCCAGACAACTGAGGAACCCACAGTGTCACTACAAGCCCATGGTCTTGCTCCAGAGACTAATGACATTGCTCTCAAAAACAGCTCGCTGTCTCCTCTCACCTTGTCCAGCGATATCACCAGGGCCACCCAGAGATCATGGCTTTATTCATCAGGTTCGTCAGATACTTTGTCAGGCATTTCACAAGGTCTTGTCTTTGCCCCCAGTGTTTATAGTCTCAAATGTTACCCACCCACTTACTCTGTACACTTAACTGTGTTTTCTTGGAAAGGATTTCTTTCAGCTCTCCTGCTCTCTCTTTCCCTCTCCTCTCGTTTTCCCACCAACATCCAAGGTGACAGCAAAATTGGGTGCTATTTCTCAAGAGCCTCATTTCTTGCCTGCCCCTAAAGATTAGCACAAAGACCCATTTTAATTAATGGATTTTGTTAATTATAAAGGGAAATATGGGATTTTTAAAAATCAAAATGAAAGCAAAGATTTCACACCCTTGAAAAGTCCCTAAAATTCATTGTCCCTAGTTTATCTTGATTTTCCCCTTGAAAAGGCAACAGGAAGCCTCTTTGGGCTTCAGACATTTTTTCTTCTTGAAGAGTCTACCAAATCAAACCTCCTACCCTCATCTCCTAGAAACCCCTGGGCATTTTTCCTCCATAAATAGATGCCCATGTTTTTTTTATTTGCCTGGGACAGACCTTGTTTAGGTCTGCTGTCCCAATGTTGCCCCAATCTTGCACTTATCCTGTATAGGATATTACATGGTCTTTTTTTTTTTTTGAGTCGTAGTTTCCCTCTTGTTGCCCAGACTGGAGTGAAATGGCGAGATCTCAGCTCACTGCAACCTTGGCCTCCCGGGTTCAAGGGATTCTCCTGCCTCGGCCTCCCGAGTAGCAGGGATTACAGTCCTGCGCCACCACACTCGGCTAATTTTGTATTTTTAGTAGAGATGCGGTTTCTCCATGTTGGTCAGGCTGGTCTCGAACTCCTGACCTCAGGTGAAACACCGCCTCTGCTTCCCAAAGTGCTGAGTTTAAAGGTGTGAGACACCACGCCTGGCCATTATATGGTCATTTTAACTGCAAGACCCTTTTTAAAGCAATTGGTTTGAGAATGTACTTTAAAAATATAATGGGTAGCTTCCTCAAATGGGTAACATGCCTCTTTAAGACCCTTTGGACTAGGTGATACTAGAAGCTTTCCAGTTGGGAATGATGCTCCCCTTGCATTATGAATGACCCATATCCTTACAACAATAAAATATGTTTCAAAATTACCAACACAGAGCTCACCTCATTTTCCACAAACACAGATCTGAATTGCAAAATCCTTAAATGCCCTTTCCTCCAATCCACATCACTCTCTTATGCTACCACTTTGTGGTGTAATTGTGTAATTATCCCCTACTCAATGTGAGCTGTATGAGCCTAGTTATAGTACCTGACTCAAAAGAAAAACACATCCATCGAGAGCCCATCATCAGACACATAGTACTTACAACACATACAGCCCTCAGATGCAGATCAAAATATATGTAGAAGCCACCACTTCATAAAAACAGAGGTGAGCCAACCAGTTTAAAATTGGACACTGATAGAGGAATATTTGATAAGCTAAAACCAGATATTTAACTGGAGATACATTTATTTATGATACTAGAAGAAAGAGATTAGGAAAGGCCATATTTAGTAATTATCTTTAGAATACAGTTGTTACAAAAGATCTTTCTCTTTGGAGAAGAAGTTATGATGTGGTCTTGTTTTTATTGTATACCAGCAGATGTGCCCAGGAAGTGCTTAAGTACTTAACTATGATATGGTAATTAAAATACTTTGGGATAGGACTTCTGTTTCCTTATTTATCCTCAAGTCCTTTCTTATTACTGCTTATTTCATCAGACACAGTTTTCTCTGGTGTATGTAATGTACATAAAATATAATCATCCATGGAAACTACAAAAGTTTAAAGAGTTCACATCCAGTAGTTTGATTAGCTTGAGGATTTATCGATAAATATATGTAGATAATCAAACTAATGGATGTGCTTTAATTCTTTATTTATTTTACAGTTCCCAGAAAGTGAGAAGTACTACGTTTTACCATCGCAAATATTTGAGAGAGAACATTTGAGCATCTCTTAACCCATCATCCCTGGGCTCTCACAGAAGGTTGGTATCCACCCAACTGCCCAGAGGTAGTAGCTTCAGCTAGAGAATGAGTGATGGAATTACTGCCCTACCAATATGAATTCTCATTATAAGGTCGATATTTAATGCTAATTTTAAAATACACATATATGTTATATCTAATATAACAGGTAATATTATAATAAATTAAAAACTAGAGAAATCAGTAATTGACATACAGAAGCCAATCTAGATAATACTGATAGATCTTGAAGTATATATTTCTTCTCTTATTCTCTGTATTCATGTTTTAAACTGAGAGGCTAAAGGGGAAAAAAAAAAACAACTTAAAATCAGCTCTGTTACATAACAGATCCATTATTTTGAAAAATGTGATTTGACACAGAACAGATAACTCGTGATTCTGAAAATCCTCATAGCCTCTCTTATTTTAAAAAAAAAAAAAGTCCTATTAAAAATTCTCTTTTTAGTGCTTCCTTTTACTCATCTCTTTATCTTGTAGATAATGTGTTTAGGTTGAACTGAATAAATTAAAGCTATATTTTGAATTATATATAAAGAGAGAAGGAACCGAGGTTAAGGTGCTAAGCAGAGGTACAGCATTTTCTTAAATAAATAGGGTACAAATAGCTGAAGCATCACATAATCATAAGGTGGCTATGGAATGTGGAGTCTGAGGATTTATTAGCCCCATTACGTTGGGCAAGCCACTCAGTTTTATTTATAAAACAAGTTTAATAATGCCCATCTTGTTTTTTAAAGTTGTTGGGAGACTCAGATAAGATTTGTGAGAGGGCTTTGTAAACTGTCCCACAAAAACAGGAGTCATTACTACTGTAGGAAGAAAACATGAGTACCGAAAGGCAACTGTAAAGCACCCATAGAACTATGAGAACTGAATGAGAAAAATTTATATGAATTGGATATATTCAAGATATATCACCTACCACTGCTATATAATATGCTATATATAAAGAACTCCTATAAGTCAATAAAAATCCAATAGGAAAATGGTCAAAAGGTATGGTAGGCATATTATAGGAGGGTAAATCCAAATGACAAATAAAACATGAATGGTTGCTCAACCTTATTATTAATCTGTAAACTGCAGATTAAGATCCCAAGGAGATTATTTTACAGTCACTTGGTTGAGAAATATTAAGAAATCTGATAATACTAGGGGCTGGCAAAGATGTAAGTCTAAGGGATATTATACACTGGTGAAGGAGATAAAAATATGTCCAATTACTTTGGAAAAACAAATTTAGAACTGTCTTGTAAAGTTGAAAATGCATACACTGTTGAAAAGCGCACCCTTTGAATGAAGAGACCTTCCAAACAGGCTTTGTGTGCGAAACATGGCTGTTTATTCACCCGGGTGCAGGTGGGCTAAGGCCAAAAAGGGCATTAGCAAAGGGCAGTGGGATAGAAGTTGGTTTTATAGGTTTGGGTAGTTTTCTGGGGGCTGGGGGTGTTGCAGTAAGTTCAGTTACAGTGGTGGGGTTGGGTGAGAGGTATTTACATTATCATAAGAACAGTCAAGATGGCAGGGTTGGGTGAGGGGCTTGTCCAGGGAAGCTCCGCTGGGTGATTAGGGACAATGGCAAACACAGGCAGCGAGTGGGAGACATCAGCTGAGGCATGCAGGACTTCAGGCTTTCAGGCTCCAGGCTTGCATGTGGAGACCTGACGTACACCAAGCAGGTCTGCTCCTGGGTACATATCGTTTAGGAAATTCTTGCAAATTTGTATAGGCAACATTGCTTATCATAGCAAAAATATTTTTAAAATCCAAATGCTCATTTCAGGAGCGTGGATTAATTGTGGTGATTTACCCAATAGAATATCATATATATTTAAAAAATAAACTGTATTATATTTAATAACATACACATAACTAAGTCTTAGAAATACTGAATGAAGAAAACTAGTTGCAGAAGAATACATAGAATATATAATCTTTGTAAACCTGAATAGCAAGAGACCATGAACAATACATTGTTTAAGGAAACAGGTGTGTGTTTCCTTATATTTCACAAGGAAAGAATTGCTAAAAAAAAATTCAGGCTAGTGGCCAGCTTCAGAAGGCAGGCAGGAGAACAGGATAGTCACAGAGCCTGCAGATTTAAAGCTACTTACTGGTCATGTTTTAATTCTTAAGGTGAGTGATGGGTTTACCAATATTAATTGTAATATTTACATGGTAACTTACATATATAAAATATATTTAGTATACCGCAAACCTTTCATAGTAAGAAATAATTTTTGTTTTTGAAGTGGAGTCTCGCTCTGTCTCCAGTGTAGTGGCGCAATCTCTGCTCACTGCAACCTCCAGCTCCCGGGTTTAAGTGATTCTCCTGCTTCAGCCTCCTGAGTAACTGGGACTAAATGGGCACACCACTGCACCCAGCTAATTTTTTTTTTGTATCTTTGGTAGAGATGGGGTTTCACCATGTTGGCCAGGATGATCTTGATCTAACCTCATGATCCGCAGGCCTCAGCCTCCCACAGTGCTGGAATTACAGGCATGAGCCACCGTGTTATTTTTAATGTATAAAAAAGTCCTTGTAAATGTTAAACAACAGTGATCGTTAGGGACAAGCTGTGCAAGCTGACTTGCTCCCCCACTCTGA